TTTACAGCATTATGTTCCTAAGCCTGATCCCCAAATAAACCTTGAGGTTGCAGCTCCCAAGTGTACAACTAGCAAAACTCAGGCTAATATTAAATAATGAATAAGGAACAATAGGTGGGCCATAGTAAATAAGATGCCAACTCATGGTCAGATGATTAAAACTGGATTGGTGTATAGTGTGACCTCAAACTGTATGTAAATGCAATACAAGATGCAAAACACAGAGAAATGAGAGAACAAAACTTATGCCACGATAGATTGTAGGTTAGAAATGACCCAGAGTGGTTTCCTAATAAAGGCCTGTGGGACCTGCCTGCCTCCCATTTACCTGCTTTTCTCTTTTCAGAACATCCAGCTTTGACCTCCACCTAAGGGTAAGGTCTTCTGCATTACCAATGGTTTTTCGTTCAGCAAGACAAATGCTGCCACTAAGACTTCTTAAAAATCCCTTCCTAGCCTTTGAGACAATATTGTCTAACCAAAATTTGGTCACCAATCTAAGATTTAGGTTGACTTGTTACCAAAAGGGGCAGAGTAAATAAAAACAACAAAAAAGGACCATATACTAAAACTGACAATCTCAGGGGAGTTCTGCATGGAGGGACATCTAACTCAGAGACATAAAGTGACCATATAGGATGGTCTGACATTAAAATTAGAGACAAATGTATTTGAAAAAATAAATTAAAATAAATTTTTTTTTAAAAAGTCAGTCATGGTGAGTAGTCATGTCCTAGGCTGGTATCTTTCCTGACAAAGCTCAGTCTTTACTTAAACTGGGGGTGCTTACTTTCTTTTTCCTCTTCCATAACATACCTTTAAAACGTCAGGGTAATTTTACTTTTCTCAGACCCCTCACTGCACCATAGCAGTGACAACAAACCTTCTGTTTACTATTATCGCAGTGTTAACACCAAGGAAGCCTGTCACTTTGTGTGACACCTGCAGTCAAATCATGTTCTTCACAGACCCAAATACTTGGTGTCAACATGACCAGAGGCCACTGCCTGCTTGGTGACATCCTAAAGTAAGACTTTCACTTCTCATGCAGTCAGGAGGAAGGAAGGAACGTCCTAACATGAGGGTTTCGACTGCATTTTATTTGTCCAAAAGCACTGCCCTCCACAGTCCCGCCCTGTGAGTCATGTCTCACCTCCCCAGGCCTGGGTTCTTCCTGTTCTCAGGGTACCTGACCTGACAGAATCTCTGGATCCTCAATCTCTGGAAGAGTTACTGCCAGGGGAGGAAAGAGCACAGCCTGACCTTGTAAGAATCAGGGATGATTTTTCATTCCCAAAATTCCTGGTGTGTGGAACTCATGCTTGTAGCTACAGAAGACATCTGTCTACTTCATGAGATCTTGAGGGTCAAGGGAAACTTCTTGTACAGAATCAAGAGGAGAACCCAGAACATGTGGTTGTTTCTATCTCAGACAGGTTGAGGCTTCTATAAGAACCTCTCTTCTCCTAACAAACACACCGTGTTCCTGGTTGAGTCTTCACATGAAGATGCTCCAGCTCCTGTGCCCTATGGGCCAACAGGGACACAGAAATTATTTATATGCATCACCTCAATGTCGTGATGGGAGACACACACTATATTATTGGGATCAACCCTACTGGCCAAAACACTGTCCAAAAACCTCAGGGGAACCCTCACCAGGCTCTTCCATTGAACAATGGAAAGTAGAGGGCTCTGTCTGAAATAGCACATGGCTCTGAAGGGACAGTTCTCCTGACACAGCCCTGGACCCATAGTGTTCTGGACTCACAGTGCTCTGGACAGTGCCTGCCTTCTCACGGGGCTCACTCTGCACTGCTCGCCATCTCTGTAAAGCACCTGATGTTGGCTGCAGATCTACTTCTCTTCTGTAGGAGACAACATTGGGACTCACAGGAAATAGACATAGGAACCTGACTTTGCCTAAGATCGAGAAGAAGCCTGATTTTCATTCCCTGCTTCAACAGGCTTCTCTTGTGCCCCTCCATCCTGATTACTTTGTCCAAACTGCCACTTCTAGAGATTGTTAACAGAGCAAGGCTGTGCAATAATCCTGACAAGCTCAGGGGGCCCCATGGCAGGCCTGACAAGCCTCACAGGACATTCTGACCTGAAAGTTTTAACTGGGCAGGTGATGGCAGGTTGTCCCATCCCAGGCCTCTATTTTCCTTAGCAAGGATCAGTCTTTAGCTTGAGTGAGCCCTGGTTCTTTTTTTTATTTTCTTACCTTGAATAGCATAACCTTGACACAGCAGAATGATTTTCTTTGCTGGATCATTTGAAGGCAGAGAGTCTGGAATGAGTGAATCATAAAACAGAACCATTTATATTATCAGGTCCCCTGCATACCTTCTCTCTGTCATATAAATATTAATTATCTTGTACCCATCAATATAATAAATATATTTCTCCATTTTGCCTTTTTTCAAATTCTGAAGATTTCCCTGCTGTGTTATCTCTCACTTCTTAATGGATTCTATGCATCATTTTCACCTTCTACTTTGATTATAATGTACAAAATAAGCTGAAAAACTCACTTTCTTCAAAGGATTTGAGCCCTTTCTCCCAGGCACAAGAGATCTGTTTTGCTCAGATAAAGTCATTACATTTATTACATGTCTGTACTGCACTCGCCCACATGCCTGGCACCACCCAGGGGCATGTGAGGTGATGACAAGAAGCCTCTCAGGTGGAAATCAGAGGTTGTCCCAACAGCCAGGGAGCGCAAGGACAGGTCCAACAAACAGACATGGAGTAGAATGGTCTACCTGAAACTTCCTGGGAGAATGAGGAAGCTCACCGGCACATGGGTTTTCATCAGTCCTTTTTCTCTGGGACACACAGGACACCTCCTACTTCACACTCAAACACTGTGCATGCTATTGAGGCTCCTGGTTTTGAGTCTTTGCCCATGGAAGCAGAAGCCAGTCTGGTGACAATCTGTCCCCTATGGTATTATCACCATGTTTGATCCCCTTCTTATCCCCAAATTCATCTCTGTGACCTTCTTGCTGGGAGAGAAGAGAGCCTTCTCAGAACATTTGGGAGTGTGAAGTAGACTGGATTCCCAGCTGGGGTTCTGTGTCATGAACAGAAAAGATCCCCATTTTTGTATGACATCTGGAGATGTCTCTGAGGAGACGACAAACCGAAGTTGAAGTCACCACAGAGGCCAACGCTGGCATGCGCGGGTCACCCTCTCAAGGATACATGGTGCCCATCAGCTGTGCTCTCACAAGAGAGCTCCATGGGCCAGTGAAATCAGCCTCTGCTGAGAGCTTCGGAGATGCAATGTCACTGACCCACCTCACTCTTGCCCAGGCACAATCTTCAGTTTAACGGAATCTGGGAACTTTCCCTCCACAAAGGAGAGCACTGGAAGTGGTTGTCCCTTCACATCAAGAGATCTCATCTTGATTTTGCACCCACAGTAGCTGGACACCTGCTGAGGCTGCATTTGTAAGGTATCCCATGGGCATTGTGATGTTTATTGAGTTTCACAGGAGATCTGATGCACAGCAGGGGTGACCTCCCTGTGACAGGTTTTTCTGATTTAGCTCAAGAAAAGTCAAATATCGAAGAGAGACGCTTTGAGAAAGGCTACTACTATGCATGTGAAAAGGAGGTGTGGGGAACTCCCGAAATCTGGACACCTCAGGGTGTGCTTTTCCAAAGAGAGTGTAAGAGTATGTGTTTGTGTGTGTTCATATGCGTGTGTGTGTGTGCCAGTGTGCACATGTGTGCTGTTGAGAGGCGGCAGGAGTTCCCAGGGCACCAAAATATAGGACAGCAGCACTGGTACAGAGGGGCAAGTGTGGCAAAATGAGGACAAGGAGTGGGAGGGTCCTGTGCACAGACCCTGCCCCCAGCTCACATGACAAGAAGAGTAAACATGCCCCAGCATAAAGCTCAGCTCACAGGTAGGACACACAGCAGATTGCACCATTCTGGACACAGGTGCCTGTGAGCCTTACAGAACCTCAAGCTTTTCTCAGAGAGGGAGCCACAGAGCAGGGGCACCACCATGGGATCCTTTTCAGTTTCTCTCCACCCAGGACTTGTCCACTGGCAAGGGCTCCTGATGGTTGGTAAGTAGGAGACTATTGCTTGTGGCAGACTAAGTATCTTCCATAGAGACCAGCTGGGATCTGCTGAAGAAACCAGTGCTTGGGAAATGAGGGAAGGCTTCTGCGTGGACCTGAGGGAGGAGGACAAAGGAGCAGAGTAGGAGGGGAAGGAGGCTCAGCAAGAGGAAAATGTCATAATTTGGAAGTTGTGAGAGGTAGGAAAACCTCAATTGTTACATCTTATTATTCATCATTGAGTATTGAACTAGGAAAACTGATAATAATAGTACTGATGTATGTTGAGAAAAACCAGAAAACAACTTATCCAGGGGCACTAGACATTGTCTTTACCACCAACCTCAGAAATGGTCAAATGCACCCAAGGTACAAGCCTGGGGTTGCTCACTCATTACAACTCCACATATTATCAGCCTGTTGAAGTCATTGGACGTACAAGGTCAGACAAGGCCCTGCTTTCATTGAGCCCATGTTCTGTGGAAGGGGAAGGGAAAGGAAGAATCTAGATGTGATTTCTGATACCCACAAGAGCCATGAAATGAAAACAGAGCTCAGTCAAACCAAAACGTGAAGACATAGGATCTTTAGAGAAAGTGGCCAGCAAAGGTGTCTTTTAAAAAAGTCCCTCATGGCAAAAGGATTCTGAGCACAGTGCGTGGGTGAGAGAGAAAACATCTGGAGAAGAGTATCTGAAACAGGAAAAATAACAGTTTCAGAGTTGCTGAAGTAATGGGGGCCATGCTATTGACTTTCACCTTGGAGACACACACCCTCATATGCAGACCAGGGCTCAGACAGAGAGAATCCTGCTCAGGATGCAGGTCCTCACCTTTCCATCACAGTGCATAAATACAAACATTGATCTTTTTTTCTTATTTCCTAGTCTCACTCTTAACCTTCTGGTGCCTGCCCACCATGGCCCAGCTTGCCATTGTGTCAACCAACGCTGCTGAAGGGAAGGATGTGCATCTACGTATCCGCAATAAGCCTCCCAATGATGTGGACATCGTGTGGTACAGGGGGGAAGGCACGAGAAAAAATCGTGTAATTGCATTTCTTTCAAAAGAATTAAGGAAGCACATAAAAGGTCCTGCACACACAGGTCGAGAGAGAATATATGATGATGGATCCATGTTGTTAAAGAGGGTCAGCATGAAAGATGCAGGAATGTACACAGTAGTAATCTACCTTCAAGATTATAAAAAAGAAATAGGATTCGGACGGCTTAATGTATATGGTGAGTGATAGCTCCCTGACATCTTGGTATTGGGTGGAATGAATTCTACTTCACAGTACAGGACTGATAACCCTGGACTCTGCCTCCATTCCCAAGGGTGCATAGAGTTCCACGTTGGATTTTGGCATTTAATGCAGGATACACAGAGTGTAGACAAACTTTTTCTAAGACCTCAGTTCCCTTCCCAAATTCCAGCCCTGCAGACAGTCAATGCAGACAGAAAGATCATTCTGAAGGAAGTCAATCAACAGAGTGAGACTTGTCTCAATTAAGCACCCTGAGCAACTTCCTATGAACTTGACCCTGAGAATGACCCTGCTGTACTAGTTCAGAGCATGATCTGAGACCTCTTGAAATTCTTACCAAGCTCAGCTCAAAATCCGCTTCCCAGAACCCTGTCCCAAGGACCTTGACTTCAGGGAATCTCGTACAGTCAGCTCAAAGTTGGGTTTTCCCTCTTGGGAAAGGCTGAATGTGTAACGGTTTAATTGATGTCCAAGTCACAAGGCTCCTGAGCTGGTCACCAGTCAGGACTCAGGCTCAAAAATCACTTCCTGGCAGAAGCAGAGTTTGCTCTATCACCTGAGTCTGTATGTGGAGAGCACAGTTGGACAAGGTCCTGGGATACAGCTGACTGTCCTGAGGGACTGAGAAGGTTCAGAAAAAGGTCAGCATCCACAGAATGAAACAGAAAAAATAAGACACTCCTGGCAGTTCCTCATTCACCAGGGATCAGCCCAGGGGATTTTCTGTTGAAGTCAATCAAAAAGAGATGCCTCTTTTTTGAACAGCTCTTCTGCCCCAGGTTTAGGTCAGATACTGTGGATATTGTACAGTTTGTACACTGACAATTTGCAGCCAAATATCCACGGAGAATAAACTGAGAAAAAGGGACACACAGTCACTAAACAGAGTCACACAGACCATGAGCAGCTGATCAGAGTCACTCAAGTCTGTTCGTAACCATAGACTTCATTCCTCTACCTTAGAGGCCACATGCGGGTGTCTGGATTCTAAAACCAACACACTGGTACGGAGCCTTTTGCCTTAGGCATGCTCAGCTAATAGGAACACAGTTTGATCTGTGTAGTGGAAAAAAGGGGAAATAATGTATTTTTACTCTAGAACCAAATTACCTGCAGGAACAATCCAAGTCACTGCACAGGCCTCCGCCTCAGGTGGCCTAGCCACACCTCCCTGCACTGGACTCGACAACACTTAATTATTTGCTTCTTGTTTTGGTGGAGTCACTCCCAGCAGATCAAAGGAAAGGATTTTGCCTTCTCACTCCCCACTCTTCTCCTGAAATCAGCTCAGGGACCAAGATGTAACAAATGCTCAGTTGCTTTTGATGAATTATGAAGAAAGAAATGGAGATTGAATGAATGAATGAATGAATGAATGAATGAATGAATGAAATGATCGATCTAATATCATGTAGCCTGGAAGCTGGATACAGAGTCCTCTGAATTCTTGCCATGAGGGACAGGCTTTCTGTACCCCAGGACTGAAGCCCATCATCTCAGACTCTTTTCTTTTCTCTAGTAAGACAGTCTTGCAATTGGTCTGAGGCCCTGGGGTGTTAATAATAATTTTCACATACAGAAGAATTTTGACTTTTTCCAAATTTCTTTCTCTTAACCACCTAACACAAATTGCCCTCAAGGGCCAGCATTTCAGCAAGCCCACGCTCCCGACATGCTATACATATGACACGTTTTGCAGTTGCACACGTCTTCACCCGCCCTCAGGAGACAGAGGATGACTTTAATGATCAAGGGCAGAGCACAGGATTCTGCTGCCATAATCAGCTTCTGCCTGTCCTTTTTCCTCTTTCCTAAATCATTACTTGGAGTCTGCTCTATTATCTAGTGGCTCAATGGTTCATTTCAGTGATACTCACCTGGGAAGACCTGACCCACCTCTTGGCCCAGAAGCCTGAGTAGTCAACTATCCACTGGCTTGCTTCTGGTCTTTATGTGTTATTTCTCCTTAAACCCTTAGCCTCTAGCATGTTCCGGGAAATGGTGCCTCATAGAAACCCACCTCTTCTGAGCAATAGACATGTGTGCAGGTGGAAGGAAACACTTCTGGTCAGCCAAGCAGTCAGTTGGTCAGTGAAGAACCAGAAGGGCAGGGGTGTCTGTGATGCCCAGTCTAATGTCTTTCCATAAGCAAACATGGATACTTAAATAATATGTGAGAAAGCCTGTACTTCCCCCAGACATAGAGCAGGATGTTATACATTCCCTGAGTGCTGTGATTCCCACGTGGTTTGTTGTGATGTACAGGCCTATCTTGTTATTTCAAAGATTCGCGTTGACTTAGATGTAAGAGGTGGGGTTCTGGTTAAGGAAGCTTTTGCAGAAATCAAAGGTACTACACATGGCAAATTTTTTCCTCTTACCTGCAGAGCACAGTTAACTGCACTGAACATCACAAGCAACAAATTCAACCTTAAGAGTTTTGACTTTCATTTTTGTGAATAATAGTGGTGTGGAACAATTTTTTCTCTGACTATTTGCCACTTGTATCCTCTGGGGAAATGTCTATTCAAGTATTTTGTTCATTTTTAAGTCAGTGTACTTAGGTATGTGATTGTTCTTGGGTTGTAGATTTTTGTATATTCCAGGTACTAACCTTTTAGTTTCCATATGATTTGCAAAATATTATTCCCTTCTCATAGGTCACCTTTTAAATTGTGTTTGTAGATGAAAAAATTTTTTTCATTTTGACAAAATCCAAATTGTCTATTTTTGCCTTCATTCTTAGTGTCATATTCATAAAATCATTGCCAAATCAATGTCATAATCCTTCTCCCCACACTTTTCCTTAGCATTTTACAGTTTTACATCTAACCTTTAGAATTAGATCTAGTTTGACTTACTTTATCTGTGGAGTATGAAAGAATGATCCATGTAATTTGCTTGCATGTGAACATTGCTGTGCAACAGTATTTGCTGAAAAGACCATCACTTCTCCAATGAACAGTTTTTACTGCCTAGTAAATTATTTAACAAGTGCTAAATGCTTTCTATTACTGTTAACTTTCTTTGGCCCAGAATACTGACAAAGTGGAAAGCCTGCCTTCCACAACATAGATAAAAGTTTACAAAAGGAGTGGGACCTGATGGTCTGTGAAATTAAAAAAAAAAAATCTAGGAAAAGATCAGTAAAAGCTCATGAGAGAAAAATTCTATGAGATGATGAGGTTATGGGACATATGGTTTGCAAAGGGGTTTTGTGTGCTATAACAGCTAACTGAGGGAATAGGTATGGGATCATCCTGATGTTATGGGGGTCAGAGAGGAGCTGCAGCTCTCTCTGACATAATTTCACCTGAAATTAGACAAGCATCCTTCCACAAATGTCGAGAACACACTCTGGTGACTGTTGCGTAGCTCACTGTGGGCTGTGAGTGGCTGAGATCTGTGTAAGCAGCGTGGCTCCATGTCTCAAGCTCGTTCTTAATCAGTCACATTCTCTGTTTCTCCACAGACCCTTTGTTAAAGGCCAGAGTTGTAGCTAGTAACACCACTGTCACAGAGAATAAGGATGCCGTGGTCTTGACCTGCTACACAAACGCGGTCTCCGTCCAGTGGTTGTTCAATGGCATGAATCTGCGGCTCAGGGAGCACATGAAGTTGTCCAAAGACCACCGACGCCTCACCATAAACCCTGTCAAGAGGGAAGATGCTGGGAATTACCAGTGTGAAGTCTCCAACCCCATCAGGTCTATGGAAAGTTGGCCCCTTACACTGGATGTGAAATCTGAGTGATACTCCTTTCCTCCTATATGTTACTAAATTCTAAATAAATGTTTGGCATTATTATAATAGAATTATTCTGAAGGTGACTGGTTCTTAAAAAACTTCTACTGAATCAATAAACCCTAAAAAATGCAAGCAGACCTTGTCATTATTGTTAAATTAAGGTCACATTTCAGTGTAATTCTCATCTTGGGTTGGAAAAGTAATGAGCTACATCCAAGGTTACTCTATCCAGGAAAGCTATCTTTTAGAATTGAAAGGCAGATAAAGTGATTCTCAGACAAGGTAAAGCTAAAGGAGTTCATCATCACCAAGCCCTTATTATATGAAATGTTAAAAGGATTTATATAAGACTAATAATATCAAAACTATGAACAGTAAAATAACAACCAACTCACAAAAATCAACAATGGAATCTGAAAAAAAAACTAAGCAGACAAGTAGAACAGGAATAGAATCATAGAAATGAGGATCACATGGAGGTTTATCCATGGGGAGGGGAAGGAGGAGAACAGGGGAAAAGGTATAGGGAATAAGAAACATAATTTGTAGGTAATAAATAGATAGGGAGATTTTAAGAATAGTGTAGGAAATAGAGAAGCCAAAGAACTCACAGGTATAACCCATGGAATTGAACTAAGGGGGAATTGCTGAAGGGAATGGGGATACTGGGTGGCCAGGGAAAAGGGGGAAAATCGAACCATTGTAATAGCATAATCAGTCACATAAACTTAATTTTAAAAAGTTTCCTTTTCCCATTTTTTCTTTTGGTATGTTTAGGATTAGGTAATATGGGCTGTGTTTATATCCCTGCAATCTTGAAGATGGCCTTGAAAATGCTGAGAAGGCCTTAAAAATTCTATTAGAAATGAATTAATCACCCTGCTCCCATTACACAGAGAAAAAACTGCTGACTCTGAGCTTCTTTACCTTGTTGACCTGGGAGCTTTGTTTATATTAGAACCAATGATGTGCTCAAACTATGTTTGTTTCAACCTGTCTTGCTAGTGGAGCAGTTGGTCTTCTAGTAAGTCAAGTTTTGTAAAAGACTTTAAAAAAATACATAGAAATGCTACTTCTCTTTTTATATACATCACATCTCTCCATGGATTAGCCAAATTTTATTGGTTCCCAATAGAGTGGACTTTAACTGCACCAACAAAGGCAACACGCCGCAATTCAGAGAACATACACTATGTGTCCAGGCAAATGCACTCAGATACCATCACCAATGCTTCACTCTGTGAAATTAGTAAAGCTAGACAACCTGCATGATCCTTTTAAGCTAACACATTTCTCGGGGCTCTGTAACTGATTGGAGCTCTGCAAAACAAAACCCAGAGTGACACTTGTTAACAAACAGGTGTTGAACTATGATTGGTTTCCCTAATATTGCTTTAAGCTGAAGCATTCTTTTCATAGGGTTTCTAAAATCACATTTGACATTCTACATTATATTAGTTTTCTATATACAGCATAGTGGTGAGACATTGATGAACGTATGAGTTGACCCCCTGAAGTCTAGGACCACCCTGTCACCACACATAGTTATTACAATATTATTGACGATGTACTCCATGCTGTACTTGGCATCCCTGTGACTATTTTGCTAACCAGTAGTTTCTCTTCTTAATGCCTCACCTCAACTGTCACCAATGTCCCTGTCCCCGGTGGTCAGTGCACAGAATTTACATGTCCTGCCTAGGTGTGCAGAGCACTCCCTGGGGCACCTCCAGGGAACTCAAGTGTGTCACCCGCCGGCCCTACAAACAGCTGCTGCTCCACTCCCAGAAGTCCCTTTGCTCTGCCCACCTCCCCAACCCCAATGCCTACATCTGACGTCAGTGCCAGGCTTTAGCTCACGCTGCTTCCATAGCCAAAACTCTTATTCTCTTCTGCAGGGTTCAGAGCCTAAGTGCTTACCAGGCTGCAGCCCATTTATTATATTTGGTTTAGTACATGCTGGGGACTCAAACCCAAATAGCGCTCAGTCTATGCCCTCCAGGAATTAGGATCCAGTCAAAAAAGCAGACATACTATAAATATGTAACTTGGAGATCTGAGGGGTTTAGGGACTGAGACTAGAACACAGGGAGCTTTGAGTCTCCCAAAGCTCCTCACTTGCTCTGAGCCCTTTGTCACATTAGCCTTTCATCCAAAGAAAGGAAGTTTTAATAATATAAATTGATAGGGTTGTTGTAACAACTAAATAAGCTAAAGTGTGTACAGGGGTTAGGACAGGGTCTGGAATACTAGAAAACATGTAGGTGCTCAAAGAATGAGCCTGAAATAAGAAATATGAAAAAAGTTTATTTTGTGTCTCATTCTGTGAGAAAACATACCATGTATATTTGAGGGGGCAACACACCCCCGAGTGCTCAGAAATTGGCTCCTCCTCCTCCCCACGTGGCCAGAGAGGCCTGGTGGTACAGCCCACCCGACCTGACCTGCCTGAAATCAGGCCTGAGGCCCAGCTTCCTGCCCTCCCGGATCCCTGCTCCCTGGGCCTCCCTCAGCCTGGAGACGCCCTTGGCCACTGGGGCCCCCAGGGGGCTGCGGAGATGAGCATGGCTTTGCTGGGTGGGGGCTCCGCTCTCTCTCAGAGCTGAAAATGGGGGTGGGGGGAACAGGTTCTTCTAACAATCTTATTAATTTTTACCTGACCTGTGAAAAAACTCATAACATGAGAAAAGAAACAATAATCTCACTTAAAAATCAGTTCCACTCAATACTTGTCCAAGCACAAGGACCATCCTTATTCGCAGAGCCCTGTGGTCAGGAGAAGCACCCAGGGGTGCACCCTGACCCCACTGGCTCTGGTTTGCCCCTTGTCAGGTGCAGGGATCTGGCAGTTGAGCAGACGATGCTATCGCAGCACAGCCCCAGTGGCTGGGCCCCACAAACTGGCCTCTGCAGCTGGATTTCTACTGTGAGTGATTTTAGATCAATGTTTCATAGCCAACAGGATGCAGAAGAGGTGCCGAGGAGCACCTGAGAAGGGGCCGCCCGCTCACACCGTCTGCCCCTTCTGGCTGGACCCTGCCGGGCCCCCTAGAAGCCAAAGGAGGCTGGCCTGGCCCCTGGCGTCTGTGCTGCTCATATCCCAGAGTGACCAGCCCACCCCTACGACACGGCAGGTTTCAGAGGAGGAGGCAGCACATGTCACAGGGACACTGGGTGAAATCTGTGTGGAACAGAGGTGTGTAGCTGTGGCCCAGCTCTGAGGGAGGCGCTTGGTCCGGCAGGTGCTGGGGGGAGCTGATTCTGTAGCTGGTGGCACTGCCATCACTGACGTCATTGTCTGAGAGCATCAGCATAGCAGGTTTGCACCTGCACCCGTGAGCGCGCACACCTGTCTCCTGAGGCTCTTAGAAATCCTGACGTATTGCTCATCCATAGTGGGAAAGCCTCTACTCTGCACCATTATAAATAGCATTGAGTGTAGGTCTGTGGGTATTTTATGACTTGAGTTTCTCATGGGATTCACTGGGGGATGGACACAGACACTTGTCCCCCTAGGGAGGGCCCGCTTCACGGGCTCACAGTCTGTGCAGTCACTTAGAAGAACCTGCTGTAGGTTTAACACTCAGCTTTCACACTCTTGAAATTCTTAGTGACTTTTGACAAAGAGCCTTACATAGGCACTTAATAGTTGCTTTTCCTGGTTCTGCCCCTAGGATTGACCCTGGGGTGGGAAAACTGTTTTGACCCCACGGGGAGGTGCAATTTGTAATCTTACCACCAGAAGGTGGCACCTACTCAAGAAAACTTACAGGCGGTGTGAGAGGCTATGGAGAGTTTTGGCAGCTTTTTACTCCTTTTATATTATTATATATGTCCAATGAGCAAGACCACACTCCTCCATCATCTGTTGCTCACAGAAGGAGTGTTTTCCATCCCTGATGTACATCCGAGATTCAAATTAAAGGAAGTCAGCCCTGGCTGGTGTGGCTCAGTGGACTGAGAGCCGGCCTGCAAACCAGAGGGAAATCAGAGTTACGAGGCTCAAATGGGAATAGTATTAAAACTACACAGCAAGGTCTACACTAAATATTGGTTTTTAGAAAAAATACTAGATACATAATAGAAAGAAATATGTACATGTCTGTGAGTGTGCATGTTGATGATGTGAAAGAAATTGAGTCTTCATCTTCCAAGGGGAGAACCTTGAATTTGATCATTTATGAAAGTGATAAATGAGTTAGGAGATGCAACACACGTTATTCAGAGGTAACTGGTTACATCTGGGGGATCTGTCATTGTGTGGAGCAGACACACTTAGAGCAGCTCAGACAAAGAATCTGGAACCTTCCTGTGATCACACAGAGACATGGGGTTATTATGAAAAAGTGTGGTGTTTTCACAAATACAAGAAAAATGTCCAACAGAAGAGAGCTTGGGACTGGCTTTGCTCACAGTGTGAGTATAAGACAAAGAATAATTTTATACTCCAGCCACAATGGGAGTTCAAATCTCTTCAGAGTTGTAGGTGATCACATATAAAATGCCTTCTCTGGGCAATACTAGCTGATAAAGATTTGCCCAGGGGACCAAAGAGTTTGGCTCCAAACAGTTTGGCTCCTTGCTTCAATGACAAAAGATTAGCACCAACATGTTTTCTGGTTTTTTGTTGTTGCTGTTGGTTTTTATTAATAAAAGGAGCATAAAATTTAAAAATTACAGTCTTTAGGTCATGAACCAGAATCATCAGAACTGTATATATTGCTCTGCTTTATTTTTAGAAAGATTACTTAACTTAATTTTTTATTTTTTATTATATATTTAGAAGGAGACCGAAAATGTGGCTTCCAGGATAATCCCCATAACCAGGACTGGAGATGAGCCTCACCGAGGAACGTGCTTCCGCTCCCTGGGATCCTGCTCGCTGCCCTGCTCCCTGGATACAGCCCCCCTGCAGCCTCGGGAGCCCCTGGGTACTGGGAGAGGCTTCTCATTACTTTCTTTTTATTTATTCTGGACACAGTGGCTTTCTGACCTTTGAACATGGG